TCTTAAATCTCATCAAGATGTCTTAACAAGACTTAAAAAATATATAAAAAGTATATCTAACTTTCTCATTGAAATTTATAAACATATGGAATAATATATATGGAAATATATAGTAATTTTATGTTGATATAGGCTGAAGAAACTCTTGTTTTTTCCTTTTTATTTATGTTTTTCTGTATCTTGACAAGTGAAATGAAAATTATAAAAATGAATAAATTCACTAGACTATTTATAATTTCATTAGTCATTGTTTAGATGAACACTTGAATTTATTCACTTTTGTAATTTTTATTTCATTTTAAAATAAAATTGATCCTTGTTTCTAAACAAACAAAGCTATATTTTCTTTACAGTTATATCCTTTATGATGTGAATCCTGCAGAAGGCTTCAATTTGAGAAGAGATGTGTACATTCGTATTGCTGTTTTCTTAAGAAAATTAATTGAGAGGGACAAAGAATTCCAGTGGCAACTAGTTTTGCCACCATGGGGTAATTTATGAACTAAAGATGTATTCCGTAAGCTTATTATTTATAGTGAGTATCTCTTAATCTTTGTTTCAGGTAATCTATACCACTGGCGAAGCAGAAATATAGGATCCCAAGAGCGTCTATTTTGGAGTACCTTTTTTGACATTACGAGTTTACAACTATATATACCTGTCATTGAGATGTATGAATTTGTGAAAGGTACATTTCTTTATGTTTTTTTCTTAATTGCAAGACTGTTGAGAACTAATTTTCAAGGAACAAAGCCAAAGTATAAAATAAAACAAGACTTGTCATATAAACATATATAAATTATTCAGAATTTAGTTTTTGAATTATAATGTTTTATTATTGTACAATGTTTGAAGTACTAGCAGATATTCATAGAATATTTGGCTCAAAAACTAAAGAAAGAATATATAATTTTCTAAAGTATGCTATATGCTTTTTATGCTTTATTTCTCTTTCTCTCTTGAAAAATGCAGTCTATTGATGTATACTTTTTTTGTAATCTAATGCGGATTCTCTAGATTTAAGAACAATATTGAATTTCTGTTATATATATTCTATATAAATTAACAAAAATATAGAATTCTCAGTATAAATAAAAAATTTAAGGGCGAATGAGAGTCAGAATATAAAACGTATTTTTTAAGATATCATATCGAATATATTATTTTTCTTAGAAACTAAAAATTTTGCAAAAAAAATAATTGAAATATTCTTACGTATGAAACAAAATTAAAAGACGTATATGCTAAAAATATAAAATATGTATAACAATATGGAAAAAAGAGAATTTTTAACCAAACTATATGAATGTATATTCCTAACTATCAATTGATAAATTAAAGTAGCTACATATGTTGATATACATATGATGATATGTCATTTGAGAAGCAAGTTTGTGAAAATCGATAAATATTATCAATTTATATTTCTCTCCTATGCCTCTGATGTAGCCACTTTAATTTTTTAATCAGAATCATAAACAATATATATTATTACAACATATAGTATTAAAAATTCTCTTTTTTCCATATTGTTATATTTTATATTTTTAGCATATGCGTTTTTTAATTTTGTACTCACACATAAGGATATTTCAATTATGTAATCTTTTTTAATTTTTATTACAAATTTTTTAATTTCTAAGAAATAATATATTCGATATGACATTTTAAAAAATATATTTTATATTCTGATTCACCCTTAAACTTTCTATTTATTATTATATTCCATATATATAATATATAGAATATTATATATGTATATTTGATACATATAATTCTTATTTTTTTAATATTTATTATGAGAGTTTGATATAAATGATTTATTTGACTGTATAACAGTTTGATTTTAGAGTACTCATGTGGGAACAGAGAGGTGCAACTTGATCGTCTGTACATTCTACAAAATGACGAGGAAATGTTCAAGACAGGTAAATTCGAAGATAAAAACGAGCTGATAGAGTGCGATCATGATTCTTTGCGATATCATAAATTAAAACAACATATGTACACTGGTCCATTCTGGGGCTATTCTAACGTCACAGCTCGAGATGTGAAATGTCTTAAATTCCACGGCATGGCACGAGACCTTTCTCAGAATCTCAAGCCAACGCGATACAGGTAACATATTCTGAGTGTTTCTATTTCGTTTTTTTTTAAGAATCTTACTAGTGTTCTTGCACAGATCCATAATGTTTGATCGTATGGAGATTGCTTTACACGACGAATACGGATCTAAAGAATATTGGAGAGCTAGACGCAGCATGCGTTATAATTCTGAATTGTACAATATCGCGGAAGATTATAGGAAAACTTTCCTGAATTCTACAAATAAGAATGATAATACGGAGCGACCAGCAGATTGGACTAAGGAGAAGGTATATTGTAATTGTTATTTTTTTTTTATATTATAGTAATAATAAATTATAGCTATGGATTCTAAGTTCAGAATCGGCGAAATGCAAGAGGCGGGTCATATTTGGCGGTTCATCTTAGAAGACGCGATTTTATCATGGCTCATAAGGCGTCGGTACCGACAATAATGAATACTGCCTTACAATTACAAAAAAGAATGGTTAAGCTTGGACTAACCCTATTGTTTATTGCGACAGATGCAGAGCAATATGGTATATATATTTTGTATAAACTTATGATTTAAGAATTTTACGAATTCTTAAATTGTTGGAAAGTCTTTTGTAAATTTTTTTAACCAATACGTGATCAATTTTTTTCTAAATATTGAAAAATATTGAAACTTATAATTTTTAATTGACTATAACAATAACAAATAATAAATAAAACAGAAAAGAAAATCAGATTAAATAAATGCTCTAGTAAACTGTTCTCAGAGAAAAAAGAAGTAATGTTCTAATTATCATATTTTTGTTAATTCTAAATTTTACTTTTCAAGAGAATTTTAATTTGCAAAAATTTTAATTTTAGTTAATAAATACGAAATATTAAACATTAATGTGTAATGATTTTTTTTTAAATAATTTCCGAAGGAAAAGTCTCATACATACTGAATACAGTTATTGAATATAGTTATGAAAAGATATCCTTAGAATATGAAGAAAAATTAATATTTGAATTATAATTTTCAGAATTTGAAGAACTTAAGTTGTATTTACCTCAATATAAAATCATGAAATATGTACCATCTGATTATGTGATAAATAAATTTAAAGATGGTGGAGTCGCCATCATCGATCAAATAATCTGTTCATATGCCAGGTAAGAATATTTATATGATGATTGATTGTAAATAGGGCGTTAAATGTAGATTATTCTTTCAATAATTATATTTTATAAATGCTAATACCTTGCTACCTTGATCAAAAAGTTCCCGGAATTCATTCAGAAAATTCAAAATATAAGTTTTATTCATCAAAATATTGTCCCTTTCAAAGTACTCCCCATCGACTGCAACGCACTTATGCCAGCGCTTGATCCAGCTCTCGAAACATTTCTGGAACTCTATTGTCGGTATAGCCATCAGAGCCGTCTTCGATTTTTCTATTATCTCCTTTCGGCTGTTAAAACGCGTTCCTCGTAATGGTTTTTTACTTGATCGAACAAAAAAAATCACAGGGAGCCATATCAGGTGAATTCGATGGCTGTTGGATAGTATTCGTTTCGTTCTTGGTCAAAAATTCATGGATAATGATGGCACTGTGCGACGGTGCGTTATCATGGTGCAAAATCCACTCCATTTTTAAAACTGTAAAAAATCGAAAATACGTGCAGAGATAGATGTATTCAAGACGGCGTAACTTTTATAAATGTCAAGCTACAGTGATAAAATTTGATGGGAATGTCAATGATAGATGTGGCAACCTAACCAAAAAAAACAGAATTCAAATCAGCTGACTCAGAGCATCACCTGGTGGTAATTCCGGGAACTTTTTGATCAAGATAGTACATAGCTTATAGATAATATAGAAATTTCATATAACCTTGCTTTTTCTTTTTAAATAGATATTTTATAGGAACACATGAATCTACGTTTACGTTCAGAATACAAGAAGATAGGGAGATTATCGGGTTTCCATCAGATACTACATTTAATAAATTATGTAAAACTAATGAGGATTGTACAATAGATGGATTCTGGTCGATTGTCTGGTGATATTTCGCTTAATTCAAAATCTTGATAAATTTTTTCATAATTATTATTATTTCATATTATTATTCATCCTTTTTCAATCAATTTCAATTTTATTCGATGTAACTATAAATTGTACAAAATGTTTCTCTTTACGAACTTTTTATTTTAAGAAAGATCTAAATATATATTAAACACTGATCTTATCGTACATCATTTAAATCCGCACTTATAAAATTCATGACATTTTTCAAAACAAAAACAAATTCATTCACACACAGAAAAAAATAAAGGCAGTAAGCGAATCGGTCAATCATTGTAGAGAAAATAAAGCAATAATGTAACTAATAGCAAATCTAAAATGTTGATTTGTTTTTTATATGTATTAGTGATGTATTATTTCGTAGACATTTAATTATTGAGAGTTTTAAGTGTATTTTTTAAAAATAATTATATATGTTAGGACATTTTAATCATACACATAGGTTAAAATCGTAAAAAGTTACTATGTTAGAAATAGATATGAATTATGCATTTGACAATTATTCAAAAATTACTTTCATTGTTATTGTTAATATTTATATAAACAGAATAATATAATTATTACAAACTAAGGAAGATTAAATAAAATTGCAATTGTTTTTTTATTATTATACGGCAATAAATTGAATAGTAGTGCCTAAAGCTTAACATAGGTTGGATCTGTATTTAGGGAATGCTATCAGTGCTATTGCGTCATCTGTGATGTCCTTAGGGTAAAATCGCACGGAATGCGAGTGCGGAATAGAGAATGAATTTACTTCTAATGTGTAATAAAGAACAAAAATTTTTTAATTATATATAATTTTTTAAAAAATGTACAGGCATAACCAGCACAAAGAAAAGTATAAAATTACTTCCATTAAAAAAAATTACATATTTTTTTAATAATATAAAGAAAACATGAAAATATCTGTAAAATATTAAAAATTAGTTTTTTTTTGTATAAGAATTATTTTTGTTATTTCATATAATTTACAAATAAAATATTAATATTAAATTTATTGGTAAATATATAGAAAAGAACCATCTCTAATGATCTTGATCTTGACATATATTATCAAGATCGTGACCCTGAATCAACAGTTTTAGGCGGTCGCTATCCGTTAAAAAGTTATTAACAAAAAAGTTCGAAAAATGATGTCTCTTTCTATACAATAAGTAAAAATATGAAAGTCTATAATATAACCGAAACTGAACCTTTAATTAATGTTTTAATTAATTAATGTTTTAAATAATGTGAATTTTATATATATATATATATATATATATATATA